CTGCAAAGGCAGTCCTAAGAGGGAAATTTATAGCACTGCAAGCCTTCCTCAAGAGAACAGAAAGAAAGGAAGTTAACTTAATCGGACATCTCAAGAAACTGGAAAAGGAAGAACATTCCAATCCCAAACCCAGCAGAAGAAAAGAAATAACCAAAATTAAAGCAGAATTAAATGAAATTGAAAACAAAAGGATTGTACAACAGATCAATAAATCAAAAGATTGGTTTTCTGAAAAAGTCAATAAAATAGATAAGCCTTTGGCTAACCTAGCCAGGAAAAAAAGAGTAAAATCTCTAATTTCATCAATCAGAAATGGTAAAAATGAAATAACAACAGACTCCTCAGAAATTCAAAAAATCCTTAATGAATAGTACAAAAAACTCTATTCTCAGAAATAAGAAAATCTGAAAGAAATAGACCAATATTTGGAAGCCACCTTCCCAGACTTAGCCAGAATGAAGTGGAAATGTTGAACAGAACTATATCAAGTTCTGAAATAGCATCAACTATACAAAATCACCCTAAGAAGAAAAGCCTGGGACCAGATAGCTTCATATCAGAATTCTACCAAAACTTTAAAGAGAAACTAGTATCAATATTACTTAACCTTTTCCAAAATATAGAAAAAGGAATACTACCCAACACATACCATGAAGCAAATATCACCTTGATCCTAAAACCAAGAAAAGACCCAACAAGAAAAGAAAATTATAGACCAATATTACTAATGAATATTGATGCCAAAATATTCAACAAGATCCTAGCAAACAGAATCCAGCAACACATCAAATAAATTATATACCATGACCAAGTGGGTTTTCTCCCAGGGCCTTAAGCCTGGTTCAATATACAAAAATCTATAAATATAATTCATCACATAAACAAAATAAAAAGCAATGTTTTTTTAATGATTCATATGATTCTCCCAATTGATGTAGAAAAAGCTTTTGATAATATCCAGCATCCTGGCTCGGCACCTGTGGCTCAAGTGGCTAAGGCGCCAGCCATATAAACCTAAGGTGGTGGGTTCGAATCCAGCCTGGGCCTGCCAAAACAACAATGACAGCTGCAACCAAAAAATAGCCAGGCGCTGTGGCAGACTCCTGTGGTCCCAGCTACTTGGGAGGCTGAGGCAGGAGACTTGCTTGAGCCCAGGAGTTGGAAGTTGCTGTGAGCTGTGATGCCACAGCACTCTACCCAAGGGGGATAGCTTGAGGCTCTGTCTCAAAAAAAAAAAAAAAAATCCAGCATCCTTTCATGATCAGAACACTTAAGAAAATTGGTATGAAAGGGACATTCCTTAAACTGATAGAGGCCATCTACAGTAAACCCACAGCCAATATCATATTGAATGGAGTTAAATTGAAATCATTTCCATGAGAACTATGAAACTCTAAGAAAAGAAATATCTGAAGATGTGTACAAATGGAAAAACATACCATGCTCATGGCTGGAAAGAATCAACATTGTTAAAATGTCCATATTACCCAAAGCAATATACAATTTCAATTCAATCCCTATTAAAGCTCCACTGTCATACTTTAAAGATCTCAAAAAAATAATACTTTGTTTTATATGGAATCAGAAAAAACCTTGAATACCCAAGACATTACTCAGAAATAAAAACAAAGCAGGAGGAATCATGCTACCAGACCTCAGACTATATTATAAATTGATAGTGATCAAAACAGCATGGTACTGACACAAAAACAAAGAGGTAGATGTATGGAACAGAATAGAGAACCAAGAGATGAACTTAGCTACGTACCATTATTTGATCTTTGATAAGCCAATTAAATATATTCAGTAGGGAAAAGATTCCCTATTTAACAAATGGTGCTGGGTAAAATGGCTGGTGAGCCGTAGAAGACTGAAACTGGACCCACACCTTTCACCATTAACTAAGATAGACTCTCACTGGATTAAAGATTTAAACTTAAGACATGCAACTATAAAAATACTAGAAGAAAGTGCAGGGAAAACACTTGAAGAAATCGGCTTGGGAGAATATTTTATGAGGAGGACCCCATGGGCAATTGAAGCAACACCAAAAATATATTACTGGGATCTGATCAAACTAAAAAGCTTCTGCACAGCCAAGAACACAGCAAGTAAAGCAAGCAGACAGCCCTCAGAATGGGAGAAGATATTTGCAGGTTATGTCTCCGACAAAAGTTTAATAACCAGAATCCAGAGAGAATTCAAACATATTAGTAAGAAAAGAACAAGTGATCCCTTCTCAGTCTTCTGAACAAGACAGGTGCACAGCCTACAGACACATGAAAAAATGCTCATCATCCTTAATCATCAGAGAAATGCAAATCAAAACCACTTTGAGATATCATCTAACTCCAGTAAGATTAGCCCACATCACAA